GATCGGTCAGGTACTCGTCAAATTCGACGACTATCCCATCGTTGCGTTCCACCATGGCCTGAAGCTCGGCGGCGGGAATTTCGCGAAACGCAAACACGTTGCTGTCGATCATCGCCACATGAAGCAGCGTGTCAGCGTTCTCGCCACTGTATCGCTCCAGAAACTGCTCCAACGTCAAGTCGATCGGCTCGCTCCACGTGACAGGGTTCTCGTAGTCGGCGACGACCATAATCGTGTTGGCCGTTCCATCAGTTGTCGCCGCGAAACTGAGATTGCGGTTCGCAGGAAAAATCGTTCGCTCACCTACCACGACAACAAACGGGGTCTTTCCGCCAGAGCAATCGCTCAGTGGTGACTTGAACAGCTCCGGAGTCCGCTTGGAAAGAGGAAAGTTCTTTTCGCTGTCCCACGCTTCGTTGAAGTCGTACGCATCAACGCCCTGTTCCTTACTCTGTTGCGAGATCAACATCGCTCGCCATGACGTCCGCGGGGTCCCATCGTCGCTGTCGTATCGCGACGCGGGAAACTTTGCATAAGTGTCGTGATAGTTGTGCAGAGCCACGGCGACGTTATGTAACTGCTGGGCGGCGCGCTCGTTTCGGATCCGCAGCCAAGGGATCCCCACGAGAAAGACGAGTCCCGCCACCAACAGGGGCGTTACCACGAAAGCAAAAATCCAACCGGCCAGGCATCCCTTCCGTGGGTACGCTGACTGGGAAGCGTTGTCGTTCATGGCGGCTCACACAAATGGATCAACGGGGAACAGGCAGTGCAAAAATGCCATCAAGCTGGTGATAGCATGCATGGGGAATTAGCGTAACCCCCGTCAGGGTCAACGGCAAGCAAATCGAGTGTTTCCTGCCAGATTTCACTAACCCTGAACGACTCAACACCTTTCAAGTTGCACGACAGGGAAGACCATGCCGGTCGTTCGGCGCTACAACCGCTACACTCCGCTCGACTGCACCGACTGCGATAAGAAATCTAATTGGAAAAGGGGTATCAATCATCTTTGGGTCTGCGGCATTCGATAACAGTACCACCTGGGCAAGGTGGGGATCTTCCCAGGTGGTTAAGGTTTGCGAACATCGTGAGTGAACAAGACGCACGTTCACGAACGATAGTTCAGTTGAGAGTCCGACTCTCTTACCAAAGTGTGATGGTACG